AGATAAAGACGAGTAAGCGCTTTACTGTGTATGATCGTAATTTTGATGTTAAAGTTGGAAGGGCTGCATTGGAGCGAAGTTTTGATTATCGACGGGGTGGGGGCAATGTGAAACATGCCGTGCAACGTGGAAGTTGGGTAATAACTCAGCATTTGCTCTATGATCGAGGAAGATCAAGGAAAGTCTTGCCAGCAGCCCGGCATTTGAACGCAGGAACGTTATTCCTTACCTGTGCTCCTGCTTTTTACAGTTGCCTTATGAATGATGCTTCGTTCGATGAGTAAGGAAAGTTTTCATATCACATGTGAAATGAGAGTACATACAGAGCGTCCCAGAAATCAGCACAGAAAATTGGAGGATGTGTGCAATGGCCCAAAACAATTCAAATACTTTACATAAACATGGGCTCGTAAGTATTCCGGTAAATGACTGTAGCCATTCGAATGTGTTCCGGCAAACGTAAGATAGGAAATTCGGTTGTACATGGGGGTATCCTCAACCTATACTTCCGAAATGTTTCACGATTCACGCCCTTGCACATCGCATCAGAGGGACCGGTGCTTACCCGACCACCTGCAGGAGAACACGGAAGACTGTGGACTGCACGGGCAGTTGATGTGAAAGAGCGCATACTGTGACGCATAGAAGAGAATTCCCGTACCAACATTCATCGAATACAAGCTGCCGCATATGTTGTTTGCAGAACAATGTGGTGGGTTCTCCTGCAACCTTTGCCGTACCCGTATTATCTGCAACTGTACAAGCTCTAAGTCTGCTTGATCTTAGCCCAAGTCAAGAATTTTGCCGGTGTTTGCTTCGACAATGTAGTGACGATTCCTTCTTCAGCAGCCATGTACCATTCACCGGCAAAGCAGACTTCACAAAGAACGGCATACTAATGTCCGCAACAGACACATCTGCAGTGACACAGATCCACACAGTGCAATTCAATAACGGAAGTCATCAAGTAACGTTTGGGCAGGTATTGTGGGGCAACACTTCGTAGGCTCGCATGCTTTGTCTCATAGACTCAATGACGTTGCTTACCGACACAATTTGGAGCACATTATGATTCTTGATACCGTCCCGCTCGATATGCGGGGAAGCGCGTGGTTCATGCATTAAGGGGGCCACAGCACATTTCAGTTACGCCACCAGAAATTATCCTAAGACTACCTCACTAGGCAATGAATAGGAAGGTAGGGACCAGTAACCTGGCCAGACCGTTCACCAGACATGAATCCCCTTGATATATTCCTTCGGGGACATCTATGTGATGCGGAGTACCCTTCAGCGGTGGATAGTGCAGAGGAACGTCTGCAGCTGTTCGCAATACTCCTGCAAATATTCAGCGCGTCAGTCAATCCATGCATCTTCAGGCCGAAGCTTGTGTGGCGTGAAAGGCTAATATTTTGAGCACCTACTTCAAACTTAACAGCAACTATTACCTCCTGTGAATGGAACGTAACACTGAATTGTTTAATTTCTTGAAAGAGATCCCATTTGCTATTGAAAACGTTCTCCTGACAATGTTTAACCCAATATGTACTGTCATATAACATTAAGGCTACGTTTGCAACTGAAGTTCTGTTACTGCAGCCAACAACATGGTGACTGTGTATTTCACTGTTGAATGGGGAAGGCGGTAGCGATATGAGAGAAGTAGCCATTCGTACTGTCCACTCTAAGCTCAAGTTTTCTTCAGAAGTTCAGAATTGTGCCCAGCATAAGTTAATTTCGTAACCACAGTTCTACTGTTGCCGGAACACCTTCGAATGGTTCTAGTTCTTTACCCAATTATTTCAAGACCCATATAAATATAGTGTTTTCATTCGGGCAGGGGGGGCATAATGCACACCATTAATTTTTCTGTACTTATTTATCAAATTTTCTATATATTTCTTGTTAAAATTCTTGAGTTTTCGCAATACTTTTAAATAATTCCCGAAAATTTTTGAGCGGTTATTTCTCATCCAGCTAAAAGTTTATACAAAAAAAATTTAAAAATTCAGTTCATAACCGACTGAAAACATACTGCACGTCTGCTAAATTTGAATTTTCCTCGGATGTAATTATGAAAAGTAGCCTACTGTATTTTTAAACACCTATCGAAATCCACGACGTCAGATAAACATTTACACGGTGTCAAATTACGGAAGATGGTGCTGTGTGTGAAGGTAATTATGTAAAAAATAAAACACAAAATTATTATGGAATTCAAATTATGCTTAACTTTTAACCATTTTTTATTGCTAGTGGGGTGGAACTAAGTCCCTTGTACTGCGGCCACTTCTGGCCTATTGTACCAGCCCCAGATGATAGGTGAGGGTGATTGTGGAACAATTGGTGGAATGAAGATTGGCATGGGAAACCAAAGTACTCGGAGAAAACCTGCCCTAGCGCCACTTTGTGCACCACAAATCCCACTTGACCAGACCCGGGATCGAACCCGGGCGGTGGGAAGCCAACGACTAACCGCTTGAGCTATGGCGCGGCCCTTCAGATCACCTTAAGTAATAATGGAGAATTATTTTCATTGAAAGAAAGAAGTTCATACAGATCTATATCACACTGCACCCCTTTGTGTGGGATAGCGACTAGGCTCACGGTAACGCTGTGCTATACGCGTGTCCTTCAAACTTCTGAACCAAATGACCGATTTTCGAGGAAATTGATATGGAAGAGTCGCCTTCGGAGGACACCCCACACTTGTATATTATGATTTCATATAATCAATAAAGATACGCCGAGCAGTTTGGCCTAGCGGCAACGCTATGGACTTGCATTCAGGCGGTGTTCGGTCTAAATCCCGGCCTGAACACCGGATATCCCAATTCAGGTTTTAACCCCCTCCTCGAAAATGCCGAAATAGTACCCCGATCAGGATACGATCGCTTCCTTCCCAATCGTTTCCTCATTTTACTCATCGGTTATTCTTCTGTTCGACGTTATGTGGTCTGAACTAATGGCACCGTTTGTTAGAGCCCACAAAAACTTCCAACATTTGCATGAACTTGCGAAAGGGCACTGGCAGCATTGAAACGCAACATGTCTTCAAATCGTATATGACAGCCTAATATGTCTTCCAAAATGTATAACTTTGCTTTAGAAAATATTTTTGAAAGCTGTAACAAAAAAATGTTGCCCTGATGATGGTCCACGTGTGGCCGAAACATGTTGTAACAAAGAATGAATATTTAAGTTTAATGACATTTTAAAGTGAATTTGATTGGTTTCATTTTGGTCCCTCACACTAACAGTTACAATTATAAAAGACAAATCCGTCTAATGTGACTATTTCAGTTTTCTCACTTGATTGACAACTGCTGTGATAGTGGTTTCAAAAAAGTGTTTGGTGCCTCTGAAGATGATCCAAATGGATCGAAACATGTAAGGCTAGTGAATCATCGAGTGAGAAAACTGAAATAGTCACATTGGACGGATTTGTTTTTTATAATTGTAACATTTTAAAGTATTTAACAAGCACTTTTAGTGTATTAAATATATTTTAGTGTCTTTTATATAAGGTCATTGTTGTATTACAGACGGTATACTTACGATCTAAAAATGCTGTTAACATCAACTAGCCGACATGCGAAAATTCTTACAGTACCTCTGAGTTTGATAACGATATAATTAATTAACCACTGGAGGGAGGGATGTTAAATTCTGTATGAGGATGGATTATGAACATACATTTAACAGAGAAGCACATATGAAATATTCTTGTGAAACAACTATTTACTTGAAAATGGCTGGAAAATTTGAGGTTATATCCAACAAATTTAACGTGGATATCATCTACGCTTACATAAAAATATGAAGATATTAGTAAGATGAGTGTAAAATATTTCACACTTAATTCTCACTTGAGTAAGATTCGATCTTGGGGCCATCTACGCACTACTCAGCCACGCAAACCCGCGAGATAAGTCACATTAAGTCCTTATATTATAAACAAGACAAGACTTGTAGCACTGAAAGTCTGTGTAGAAGGGCTGAAAATATGTGCAATAGGAATATAAGTCTCTGTAAGTAGGGTTCAAATTATTTGCGGCAGAGTTGAAGTCTGTGTAGTGGGAAAACAAGCTCCATTACTTCTGAAGTTTACGGAATGTGTTGCCTCCATCTTCAGTTTATACCTACCAGTATACGTGGTGCTTGATCCCAAAAGATATTAGTCTTCATAATCACTGCCGTGAGAATCTCAGCTCTCAGATTTATTATTTCTGTCTCGAATTTCTTTTTTATCTTTGAACCAGCGAAGCAATTAACATTAATGGAAGGAAACATGGCTTCTAATAGTAATTTCTGTGGATTTCTTTCCCATACTGTCAGTATTTAGGCTCTATACGGTTGAGTGGTGCCGGTCACAGTAGCCGAGCGGTCTAAGGCATGCACTGGCTTCGCTCGCTTGGAAACCGAGATCGCGAGTTCGAATCCCACTCAGGGCATGGATGTTTGTGTGCGTTTTTCTGTGTTTGTGTACAGGTAGAGGCCTTGCGACGAGCTGATCACTCGCCCAAGGAGTCCTACCGTATGTGTAAGATCTAGAAAAACCGAAGTGAACGGAGTTCATGGAGGTAGGCCTAGGCCCACTGGGGCTGTAGTGCCAAGGGGGGGGGGAGAAAGGTTGACTGGTAAGATGACTGATGAACTGGAAATTATTTGGAAGAGAACGGCCGTGTCCTAATCGAAATAATATCCTGGGGTTATTTGCTGGAGTGACTGAAGGGAATCAGTAAAAATCTCATTCAAGATCGTCGATTTCCCGTTAGAGATTCGAACTAAGGACCACAAGAATACGACTCTAGAATGTAATCTCTAAGGCAATCCGCTCGGTGGTTCGAAGTAACTGGTATAAATAGTCAAGTCAAAACGATGACCTGTCAAATTGGTACCTGTATATTCGAGCACAATAAAAACTGAATGAAGGAAACGCCAGTAAGGTGACGCCAGCACTGACTAGCACAAAAGCAATCAGTTTGAAAAATACTCACTCGGCATGCAATGTTGGCTGTGGTCCCGCTGCAACATGGCTTCGCACACACTTCAGGTGCCATTCACTTTGCTGCTAACAACAATTATTTTACTTCACACGGTCAGGCTCTAAGTGTCACAGTGCTCAAAATGCATGTCTGAGCCTTACATTATTTCTTAATTCAAACACAGTTCAATACACGTGATTACTCCCACGCTCCTGTCTGTCCTCATGCTTGGAGACATTCATCTAGTCTGAAACACACCACCGGAATTGTCGCTTCTGTCAAAGCGGGTCGAGAAATCGACCTCATCTGTTCAGTACTTAGCTACTGCAGCGCCACTAGGAACCGACGGCAAACAATGGAATCATACTGCGCACATGTCCTTTCCCTACCCTTCCAGGCCACACACATACATACTTTCACACACCCGAACAAATACACTGGCCTTCAATCCCTTAAATCCCCCAAAAATCCTCTGCTGCCCTCCAACAAACCCAGCCAACCAGTTTCCACTAAAGGCAGACGCGCATGCTTATAATGTTATGGATCGCCCGTCTGTCATTCCCTGAACAGCCAGCAAGGACGTCTCTCTCCCCTCCAACCCGTACAACTTTTCATTCCAGTATCAACCCTTCTATGGAGTAGAAGACTTCAATTATTCAAATACGGCATATTGCAGGAAGTGAAGTAGTCACTGTGATTAAGCCTCATGCCACTAAGACACGAATGGGGGAAAATGATGTAAAGCTCCGCGAATTCGTAACCTCGGCTTTCGATGAAGGTGAATGATCAACTTTACTCTTCGGCCTCTAGCTCTTGCATCTGATTTCCTCCTCTCAAACACACGCTTGTTAACGAGAGTATGAATGAACACGGAGTAACTGTTACTCAGCAAACAGAAAATTCCTGTTCCCAGTGGCATTTGTCAGCAGCAGACTGCCCTGTTGACAAGCAACAGGCGAGCAAGCTGGTCTAGTGGCAATGCTCAGGACTCGTATTCGGCAGGTGCTCGGTTCGAATATCGGTCGGGACACCGGCTGTACTGACTCACGATTCTAGTGGCCTTCCCCAGTCCCGGAAGGCAAGTGCCGAGATAGCAACTCTATTTAGGTCACGACTTCTTCACTTCAAATCGTTTTCAGTTCATCGTCCATCTTTCCTGCCACTCGACATTATATGGTCTAGCTACTAACACTGTCCCCTCTGCCTGTCCACCTGCTTTGCACCACGAAATTCCTTGCTCCTTGTGAGGTTACAAAGAACACTGGTCACTGAACTCCCTGCCTAACAACCAGCTCCAAGTAAGAGAGTTTACGTGAGCGGGCTAGTCGTTCAGGGAGACAACCACTGATCTTAACCTGAGCCAGATACGTTCAGTCAGCATCGTCGCAACCTGCTTCCCCAAGATGTGTTTAAACAGTATCCTCCCACCTGCTGTTATGTGCATGAAATGAGAAAAAAAAAACTGACCGGAAAATCAGTTTTATTCCAGACAAGATTTGCGAATCACCCCATGCGTGCTCCATTTCCTACCCATTTTATCCTCTAATAATTTCATGAACAGCATAAACCACGAAGGCTATCATTATGCAGGTTTGCGATTTCCACCTGAGACGTGTAAACGTGCGAATTTGTGTTGCGCCGGTCAATCGAAGCGTCGCTTGGGTAAAACTAGGGATCTAACGTTCATAACGCGCTGACCACATTGGTAGATATTTCGCACAGAAATCTGTTTAGGGTAAGGCAGGGCAAGATTGCGCGTTTTACTTTCTCGAATATGAAGGTAACAAAATTAATAGTCACATAACATTACCTTAAGAAATATACTTTATTTTTTATTTCCTATTTCACACTACGTATAGGATCTAGGCTTCGAATGCAAATGGTCATCATCAGGTGATTCACACAAATAAGCCAAACATATGTAGACTGCCAGCACAATTTTTTTTAAATGTGATGTATAAAAATAAAGGTAAAATTGCCCCTGTATTTAACTCATGAAGCACTACGCCTTGAAGGCGTATGGTGGAGTGGATGTCTAGATCCATATTTTCTTGACCTCGGAACTAGCTGGAGGTGAGTGGTCAGCTTCACGGCCCGGCCGCTTTACCCCCGTCGAAAGAGCCCCCGGTACCCATTGGATAGAAGGTTGGGTGGACCCCAGAGCCGGTCTGGACGACGTAGAGAAGAGAAAATTCTTGACGCCACCGGGACTCGAACTCCGACGCCTCAGTCGTCCATCCCGTAGCCAGTCGTTATACCGACTGCGCTATCCCGGCTGTTCGATGTAAACAAATATAGTTAGAATAATAATAAAACATATCGGGTCCAACTTAAGTTCCCTACATGAGTACACGACGGTTAGCTTTTGTCCAAACATTCCGAACATATATTCTCCAACTTATGGATTATCACATATGTGGTATGAAAATTTTTGTGGCCGTGAAAATATATGCCGATATGTTGACGTAATTGCACTTTTCAGCCTTTCTGAGGAGATTTTAGCGCCGTCTGTCTGTCTGTCTGTCTGTGTGTACGTAAGTGCACCTCTCTAGCGGCTCAGCTTTGAGACGGATTTTATTCATATTCCACAAAAAGACACCTTTCACGGAAGCAAGTCGAGCAATTTCGATTAAATTTCACTAATTTATAGAGAACAGCCCCCTAAATGAGATTTCATGTGTCTTCAGGAAAATAACGGTATGCACATCAGGGACCCAACGCGTATGTTAGAAAGTGTGTGCAGTGTCTTTGCAGCGATTTTCCATTCGTAAGTTTATATTTTTACAGCGCTAATGCTGAATTCAAAAGACGTTCATTAAAAACTTTCAGTGATTTTTAGAAAATCGAATAATTGCTATTTGAGTTTAAAAAAAAAACTGTTGCAAAAATTTGAGTCTGATACTGTACAAATGCATAATTAAACCTATATGGACATATGGAGTTCAACTGTGGGGCTGTGCAAAGCCATCAAATACTCAAATCATCCAAAGGCTACAGTCCAGAGTTCTACGAACAATCACCAACGCACCCTGGTACGTCTCCAATCGGACGCTCCACAACGACCTGCAAGTCCCATATGTAACAGACGAGATACGAAGATTAGGTCTACTCTACAAACAACGACTACAAGGACATGACAACAGATTATTTGAAGAAATAAGGAACCCTCCCAACGTTGTATGGAGACTGAAGAGACAGTGGCCATCCGACCTTCCGAAAAGACAAAATTAGGTTAAGCAATAAATTCTAGCATCAACTGTGTTTAAGAGCATCGACGCTGGTTGATTCTCTACTCACGTTCCTACCTTTAACCAATTTACTTATTGCTCCTTACTGTAGTGAGTAGATTGTAAATTCGCAGAGAAACAAAAAAAATTTAGTCTTCTTCATAATTTTTCTTTGATCACGCTATGACGATGCCATAGAATGTACGAAATGGAATGGTAAGATAGATGAATGCCAAATTGAAAGGAAACGGATCATTGCATGATTAAGGCATTATACCGGAAGTCTTATGGAGAGACTGAGCAAGAACACAAAGAACCTCAATCAGGATATCCAGTTACGTCACCCAAAGTAGGAGATAGCCACTGACACCTTCTTACGGTCTGCCAACCGCCGCCTAAGACAAAGAGCGACATGGCAAGGAGGAACCGATCAAATGATTGCTACTTGACCTTCTACCATATCTGCAGGCTTCACCTGAGCGCCGCCTGACCCCCCACACAATTAAGTAGTCAGTGGTACTAGTATTCTTACATCCTTTCATGTAGCGTAGGCTTACACGCACAAAGTATTTGCAACGCTATCGAATGAATCGTCGAGGCCGATTTTTAACGCTAATTTACATGAATAACACGCATAAATGACCAATCGTAAGCCGCCACCCTCTATGCAGTATGCTACACTACACATATCCACATAAAATTATTATCAATACTCATAAAATTGACGTGATGTGCTAAAACAAAAGACGTAACTTGTTTAACGCTCAAATTAGTTCCTATGGTAACCGGTAACTTGTAATTTCAGAGCACACACTACTCGTTGAAGTAGGAATAGGTATATGGACGGACTGCGGGCTGGAAGACTCGGGTTAGATTCCCGACAATGCAAGAATTTTCTCTTCTCCACGGCGTCCAGATCGACTTTGGGGCCCATACAGCCTCCTATTCAATGGTTTTCGGAGGCTCCTTCCCTTTGGAGTAATGTGGCAGAGGCGCGAAGCTGACCACTTTCCTCCATCTAGGTCTGATGTCTAGAAAAGTGCAGCTAGTCTCATACCTCCATTCCCCCATATGTTTTCATGGAATATCTATTTATCTATTTTTATTCCTGTTGCTCCCACTTGGAGCAGGGCATCCGTGAAACGCTTCGTTTCACTTCAGTTTCTTACTTTTATACAGTCAATAAGACTCCTTGGACAAGTGATTAGCCCGTCGCAAGGCCGCTACCTACACACAAACACAGAATATACTCAAACATCCATTCTTTGAAAGGGATTCGAACACATGATCCCAGTGTTCGAGAAAACGAAGACATTTCATGCCTTAGATCGCGTGGCCATTGTGACTTTGTGGAATAGTGCTTAACAAATTAAGCACAGGGACAGCTTTACACTAGCAGGTGTATATATGAAAATTAATTTTGGTGGTAGAACCCCCAATCTCAAAAGTTTGACGGTTCTACATATTTCGAGCCTCTCTGAATACTAGAAAGTGGTTTTTGGCATGCCGCCTGCCTATCAATAATTACGTATGGACATGTGCCCCACTCTAGCGCCTGGATGTTTCGAGCGATGCTCACATTCGACATTCGAGAGTTTATTCATAATAGGCCGGACAAAGGTGAATATAAACATATGGGCCCATCAGATGGTCAATGAAACCCAAAATCGAGTTTTTTTTTCGAAAATCACTCTAACTACGTGTATTTCTATCAAACATCAATAATTTAAGAAAATAATCTCGCTAAATTAAATCCCACAGGCGACATCTTCAAGAGAACAATGGTATGTGCCGTAGGGGCTCAAATGCGAAACGTTTATTTTCTTGACACCTGCATTACACGCCACAAGAATTTCATTGTTGTTTGGTATTCAGCAACAACAATGGTCTGCCGTGCAACACTCGATTTCGTTTCCGAGGTAAGGCACACAAGAAAGTGTGAGAAACCTCTGCGCCGATTTTTATGTACAGAGAGGGATATAACCTCTAATGGAATCCCATCGTTTGTTGTTTGACTGCAACACAAGCTAATCCTACTTGCCTTCTCTTCACGACCCGGAGTTTCTGCAAAAGATTATGTTCCGTGTTTTCCACAAACTGGCAATAGACTATTGACTGACACGAACCTCTTTGTAATAGACGTGATCTTAGTAACATTTAATAACCTTGGCCACAATGAGGTACAACGTTACATTAACCATCGTTATTATCAACAATAAACATATCGATGGAACGAGCCTACAACCATATCATCAATGGTTATTGTCGCTATGCCTTTAAGGAAAATGATACATCACACAATGCTCCACGTAGCACTATTCCGCCAGACAGGCGACAAAAAAGATCCATGCCCAATAAATCCCTATCAGCACATAACAAGAATAAAACTATAACTATTAAGCAAGGGATTCCAAACTTCTTCATTTTGCGGGCCACCTGAAAATCAAGTTGCTCTCAGCGAGACGCCTTGAAAATATCAATTCCTTGTGCTGTA